TGCAGTTTTCCAAAGAACCCTTCTTAGCCTTCATGAGACCTTATGATGAGAGGCTGAGAGCCATGGGAAAGAGACTCAGCCATAGGACTTAGGAAAAGCGCAGGCTCAGGGGCTATCTGGTGGCCACCTATAAATTTATTAGGGGTGTTCACCAGGATCTGGGGGAACGTCTGTTCCCCAGGGCTCCCCAAGGGATGACGACGAGATCGAATGGTCACGAACTCCTCTGCCACCGTTTCAGGCTGGACATAAGGAAGAACTTCTAAACCTTTGGGGCTGGGACAGTAAAGAATAGACTGCTGCCGGAGGTGGTTCAAGCACCCACTTTGAACGCCTTCAAGACACTTTTGGATGTTTATCTTGCTGGGATCCTATGATCCCTGCTAGCTTCCTGTCCCTGGGCAGGGGGCTGGACTCGATGATCCTCCAGGGTCCCTTCCAGCCCGAATGTCTATGAAATGAAATCTATCAAAAAAATGCTACTAAGAAAATCCAGTTTAAAAGCATAACTATGTTGGTCCACTAAGCACACTTATAATGCCATCCAAGACTACCAGGAACCTAGCCAGTAAGACTCCAGAAAATACTTTCCAGGGTGATGCAGTGTGTCCATGTTTCATTTCAACCAACAGTTCTCAACCTTTTTAGACCCAAGGCACCCTTTGGAAAATACCATCTCTTAGAACAGTTTTTTTCTGTTGCAAAAAACTCAGAAAGACTACAACTATAGATTTCTATTTGAAAAGGGTTTATCTTGTGAATCACAGGTGCAAACCTAAGTGCTAACACTGCATGGCACCCTGCAGCACCCTTGAAAGGGTCTCATAGCACCCTAGATGAGAATCATCTCCCCATCCTTAGGTGTCCAGGAATACTTCAACTGATGCGATAAGGAAGGTATGCCAGGCTTAACTACAGGCAGGTTAAAGATCTTCTAGTCATTAGGTACAAGTCTTTAATAAGGAATTTCCACTCCTCTTTCAAATTCCTTGTAACTTGTTTGTGATGGTGAGAGTTCCTCTGCTTTATGTTTGCTTTTTATCTCTCTTTTAAAAAAAAAAAAAAAGGTGGGCTCATTTTCTTCAGAACACACATCTGTGAAGTTATACCCCCATTTGTGCTTAATTCTGAGAAGCTCAGCCAGAGGTATCTCACTGAAAGTCCCAACCTCCAGAGATTTTCTCTTTAGAGCAGTGGTTCTCAACCTTTTCAGTCACAATATTCCACCTCGTTCTTTGAATGTGGTTGCACCCACCAGCTGACAATGACTGTTGGTGCGGTCTCATTACCTTTGTGCTTCTCAGCCAGGTTCACCTGCCTCCAGATGAAACTGCCCCCTAAGCCTGCTGCACAGCCAGCCTGGGAACTGCTATGCCATGTGCACATGCTCCTCCTGCATTACGGCTCTCTAAACAGCCTAAAGTAGGCAGGCACTGCCTAGTGTTGCATAACCCTACCTTCTCTGGGACCCCCCCACTCCTCCCAGAAGCAGGTGGGACAGTTCCACATGCACCTGTTTCCAAAATGAGTGCAGGGTGTGCCAAACAAGGGCGTGCTACACAGCACAAGGTAGCTTTGCTGCCTGCTTCAGGCTGATTAGAGAGCCTTAATACAGGGGGAAAGCACGGGACAGTTTTAGCTGGCTGCTGCTGCACCCCAGTTGAGAACCACTACTTAAGATGTCACCTGTCTAGAGCTTCTATCAATCACAGCATGAGCTATGACCATGTGGTAGTTATGGACAACAACTTCATCCCACTGCTATGGGGTGGGGGAGGTTTGCCTTCTCCTGAATTTCAGCAAACTCAAGTGGAACTTTCCTACCTGGTCTGCAAGCCAGGAGAAAAAGGGACCC